CTGAAGGGCCGAGGGCTTAAAAGGGCCAACCCTGGAGGGCCGTAGGCTGGCCCGTTTAAGCCCTTTTATAATTTTTTTTAAAATTTTTTTATATAATTCTAATGTTATTAATTTTTTATATTGTTAATAATATTTCAAATATTTAGTTATTATTATCATTTTAAAATTAAATTTAGTTTTAGACAATAATTTATCCAATTAAATTTTTAAAAAATGGGTTAATTTTGGACTTTAATAATGATTTGATTTATATTATATGTGTTGATATTTTTAAACTATATATATATTTGATAATAAAATATTTTTATACTTATATAACATGTGATTCTATAATTTGAATTAGAAATTCATGAGTTTTAACAACAATGTTTCTCACATTAAAGTAAAATAATAGCTAGATTACAAAATTTAAAAGTAAAATTCATATAAAGAAGAAAAATTTGATATTTTTGTTACAAAAGAAAAGCATACTTATGAAGAAGTGTAATTAATTATAGTGATGATAAAGTTTCAAAATATTAATGATAGTATTTATTTATTACACAATTGCACTATAGATAAAACTTTTGAATATTGTTATCCCGTTAATGAATATTTTAGATGTTTTTGGATGTTGATGGATATTTATATATGATGATATTTTATATTTGTGACTTAATTTTATTCATATTTATGTCTTTTATTAATAATTTTATTGGTTTATTTTTATTTTTTATAAAAAATATGATAAACATAAAAAATAACATTTTTTCTTAAACGGGCCAAAAGCCCATGGGCCGGCCTTGAGCCCTGTAGCTTAAGGGCCGGACTTAGCAAATTGAGGTATTTTTAAAATTTCAGCACTGGAGGGCCGGTCCTTTTAAACCCGTCAGCCCTGAAGGGCCGGCCTGTTACATCCAGTAATATGGCAATTAGGAATAAGAATATTCCTAAATATTTAAAGGCCAAAAATGACAAGGAGAAATAGAAGAATTTTGGTGGAAAATAATTATTATAATTTTCTAAGCCAATTATGAAAAGTTTGACTAATTAAGGAAAATTGGTCAAGAATAATTATGGACAAATAATTTTAAGTCTCAGAAAATTAAGAAAAAATAAGGAAAATGTTCTTTGAGAATTATATAGGATTATAAAATTGGTTTTATGACCAATTTGCCCTTAGAGAAATAACAAAGGAATTTAAGAGCAATTTAAGCTAGTTTAAGGTCTTTATTTGGAAAATTCCAAATAAATACTTTTAAGAAGAATAAAATCCCAAAAAAATTCCTATGATATCCCAAGAAATTATAAGAGATTATGAAATTAAAATAAGACCCTCGAGTGTCCAAGATTTTTCCCAATTCTATTGAAAAGTTGAAAAATCAATAAAGAGAAGGAAATTAGTTTTTCTTTTTATTTAATTATTGGAAAATTAAATTTGAGATGAAGAGGGAAATTTGGAAAGATAAAAATGAGGAGAATAATTTATGGATATGACAGAAAATAATTACAAGGGCCAGAGTACTGTAATTATAGGAAAGAAGTTAAACCCGGAGTAAAAGTACACTGATAAAGCAAGAAGCAGAGTCTTGCACTTTGCTTGGCCCACAAGTTGCCGCTTGTCAAGCCTTTAATGGATGGTAATTAAAGCTTTCTAAGTGTCAAGCTACCAATGGAGAGGATCTTGACTTTGGAATTAAATTACATTATGATTTAAGTTAATTAAGAGAGAGGATTAAGACTAATTAGGCTCTTGACACATGGCATATCATTGATGATGGTTGGTGGGATATTTTATGAGCATTAATGAGCTTTTCCTCTCCCATAATCAGACCTCATTTCGTGCTAAAGGAAAAAGAGAGAGAGCAAGAGTGATTTTGTGAAGAGATCAAGCAAAAGCAAGCATATTTGACCTTCCAACTAAGATCCAAGCTTGGTAAGTTGTCTTAAGATGTTGCCTGCTTTGTTTTATTGATTTGTATGGTTGGAAAAATCACTTCTTTTCCCTTCTTGTTGCTGGCCGAAATGGGTATAGTGTAGGGAAGGAGGTTTTGTTGTTAAACATAGTTAGAACACTATGATTTAAGATGCTTTCAAGTGGTTTAGTATTGTTTTGAAAAGTTTTTCATGGTTGAACTTCAAGAGGTTTGGCTCGGCCAAGACCAAAACTGAACCCTAGGATGTGTTTTCCAAAGTTTTGAGGCTTCCATTGTGTTCAAAATGAAAAATGGTGTAGGGTAAACCTAAAGAACAAGTGTTGGAAGCCATAGAATCAAAGTTGTAATTTTTGGGTTTTGAACCCTAATGGTTCGGCCAGGCTGAAACTGAAGGAAGGAAATTTATTTTGTTAAATCCAAGTAGATATTTGGAATCTACATGAAAAATCATGTAGGGGTGAGTCAAGAGGGAATTTTTAGGGTTTATGGAAACCAACTCTAAAAATTCAAGAACAAAGATGAAAGCTTTAAGGGGTTTAAGAGTTACTTGAGTTATGTTATTGATTTTATGGAGAATGGTTGATGATTCTTGCTGCCCTTTTTGTGGATTGCCATGCTAGGGTTTGGCACTTGTGGAAGCAAGAAGGAACAACAAGAAAAACAAAAAGCATTGGATCGAGGTAGTGGGATCTAATTAGCCATTAATGTTAACTTTGTATTGTTATTTATGGCATGTATGCTTGCTATTATATGGTTAGACTATGATGTTGTGATATGGTTGCTCTTTGCATTTGTTGCCATGGCCTTGCATGTTGAGGTTGCCTATTTATAAAAAGATTAGTTCTCCTATGATAGCTAATGTTGAAATGCTTTATAATGATGCATGTTAATGTTTTGGTTGATTGATCTTGCTGCTGGGATTTCTTAAAATCTCATCCCCCAAATATAATCTAACATTTTAGGGCCTGAAACTCCTATGAGCAAGTTGCAGATTGGAGACTAAAGTATGATGTCTTGCAATAAAATTCGTGGACCTTTTTGGTTATGTATATATTAAGCTAACAATGCTGTAAGCACACTGACACGCCATGTTCACGTGACTTTTTGATTATGCTTCCGAACGCGTTTAATCACGAATTTTGTCATGATTATAGATAACGTCCTCAGCTTCAATTTGATAGCTAATACGTTAAAAATAGCCAAGTATACGAATTTTAATGATTTTTTAAAGTTAAAGGTCAGAATCTGGGAAAAAGGGTTTTTGGCAAATGGACAGTGTTGCATTTCACAAAAACCTGACGCTTTTTCATAAGGAATTGGATCATGATATTATTTTTCCTTGAAAGAAGACTTAAAGAGCTTTAAATAGAATTTTGAACCACCCTGTTTGGATTTTTTTGGAATAAGTTATGAATTTTTGAGGTTGGGCCGAAAAAACTGGATTTTTACACGATGAACAGTAAAAATCCGAAATTTAGCTTTTTTAAGGTAAAAAGTAAGCCCAAAATCATCTAATGTGGTCTAAAGTGGTTTTAAATGAAATCTAAGTGGATATAATAGTAAGGTGTGACACGGCCCTGATTCCCATCTCTAGTGAACTCCCCCTAATAAATTTATGGAAGACTTTCCACCTCTTTTGGTGGAGGAAAGTCATCCTTCTTCTTTTTTTTGTTGGAAATATTAAAATATTATTATTTTATTCTAATAAAAAAATATTATTATATTATATTATATTATTTTTTTACTATTCTTTTTACTTTCTCTTCTTCTTTTTTTAAAAAAAATTCTAAAATAAAATTCAGAATATTACAGGCAACTATTACAAGGATTATTTTGAATAAAATGGATAAATATGATAGATAAAGTGAATTGAAATCTCATATTTAGGGGGTGTTTGGATAGAAACCAAATCATGGTTTCAGAAGTGCTTTTACAGTTTACGAAGTAAATATGTGGAGGAATTGGCCTCGTTTTGCAGAAAAGTGCTTCTGAAACCATGGTTTGGGGTTGCCAAACACCCCATTAATATTAAATTAAAAGTGAAGCTAGCTCTTATATTAAGTAGTATTATATTACCTGTTATTAAGGGATAATAAATTTGTTCAGACTCTTTGAACAAACCACACCAAAGTAAACCAATACCTAAGGGAGTAAGGGGTTTGATAATTACCCATTAGAAAATGAAAAAGCCGATGACGGGAGGTTCAGCTTTTCTTGCAATAAAGAAATGACAAAAGAAATATTATTGTGAGATTTTTAAGGAAAAAAATAATCACTAAAAAATATTATAACAAATGAGCAACTTGGATGTGTCATTTTTTGTATTGGAACCTATTATTACATACTGTCGACCTGTTATGAGACTTTTGTATGATAATTGCATTCTTTTTTAAGAATCTAATACTGATTTTCCCTTATTGTTATGTCTTGTCAGCTTTTAATTTTTTTATAAGCTTTTATTCGTAAAATGAACTAGGCCATCATTTCACGGTGTTGGTTCATTTGAAATAGTCATGTGCTCATATGGATTAAACATTAAGGAAATGATTAGATAGACTAAATTATGATAAATATAATGCCATTTTACTAGAATACTCGTAATTTATATAAAAATAGTAAAACAAAAAGGACAGAATATAATAAATAGAAAAAGAGATGAAGGGAAAATAAAAAAAATAGTAGTACTAATTAATAATGTATTTAAATTTTAAATAATAGACAAAACACTTTGATAATTTTCTCTTCAAAGTAATTTCTCCAGTGATTGCATATCCAAAAGCTAGCTTGTTTTTTTTAATATTAAGAAGGCAAGCAGAAAAAATGGGATGGGAGGGGGCGGTGACCTGATCAAGTGGGCTTGGGTTTAGTTGGTGACTGTTGGCGGGCTTGGGACAAGTTTAGAAGTGTGAGCATGCTTTTAATTTTTAAAATGCTTTCTTTAATTTCTTCTATTTCACGGCACAATAAAATTTGAAAATGACCAAAAGAAGACAAAGGAAAAGCTGGAATACCTATTCCATAAAATCCCGATCAAGAGGATTCAATTAATTTGTTACCTTTACCATCTTATCGACCAGCCCTTGTATGGCTCTGGCAAGGCCCGACACTGGCGCTCCTGGTCCCTCTTCCCCTTCAACATCGCCAAAGTATGATGTTTTCTTGAGTTTCAGAGGGGAAGACGTTAGATATGGTTTTGCTGCTCACTTATGCTCTGCGTTGGATCGCCAAGGAATTTACACTTTCAGGGATGACGAGCACTTGGAGAGAGGAGAACTTATTTCTGATCAACTCCGCCAAGCTATTGTGCAATCTGAGATCGCCATCGTTGTGCTCACTGAAAACTATTTTTCTTCCAGGTGGTGTTTGGAGGAATTGGTGACTATCGTAGATTCAAGAGACGACCGGGGTCAAATAGTTGTTCCGGTTTTTTATGGCATAGATCCATCAGACGTACGACATCAGAGACGAAGCATAGCCGCAGCTTTTGAGGAACATGAAGCTAGATGTTCAGTTGATACAATTCGAAGATGGAGAGAAGCGTCGACTAAGATTTCATATCTGCGCGGTTGGGTTGCAGAAATTGTTGGGTAAGTTTTCATTTCTTAAATCTTATATTTTTCTATTCCACTTTGACTTTGTATGTGTGCGATTTTCTCTTCAAACTTTGAAATACTAACGATTGTTATAACTTAGCTGATAATGAAGATGTCAATTATATTAGCCGTAAAAATGAATTACTCTCATCATCACTACAATAAAACGCGCATGAAATATCTGAGAGAAGCAAAAGTCTTGCGCATCTTCTTGGAAATAAATGAAAGAGTGAGGAGGACCATCCAAAGGAAAAGAATTTTTCACGAAAAATCTCTGCAGGAAATATATTAATCATAATGACTGTCCGCTTGAAACCCCTCTTCTATTTGCTTTAATGATTACTCATGCTAGTTAAGATTATAAAAGAGATGCATTTGTTTTTTGATTCTTCCCTATTTGTTCGAGACAATTCATTTCTTAGGTTTTTCCCCATAAATTGGTACTTTTTTAGCGTATACTATTTGTTTCCTAGTAGTTCTAAGTTCACACAAAATACGCCTGCAAAGCCAAAATTACAGCTAGGCAACCAGTAACATATGTGAACATTTGCAAAACAGAACTTATTTAAAATCAACAAATAAGCAAAATAGCATGACTTTGACTTGGTGATTTAATTGTAGATACTTAATGGTTTAAGGAAAAAAAATTAAAATAAGCAGAACCAAAACAAGAACACGGGGATGACACTTTTTAGACATTTTTATTGAGTGGCATAAATGTCACCTTAAATGATATTGTAATTGTCCTATGTTTTGGAGCCTTCTATTGCGATTTCATGTTCTCTAATAAATAAATTTGACTCTATTGATTGCATGTGTATTGTTTTGTATATACAGTTTGAGTTAGAAATATCAACTTCATACATAGACCATATAACTATATGCTAAACTCGCTCACTGAGAAAATTTTGCTTTTCTCCCCCAATAATTTTTACTGAAATTAACAGAATATTAATCTTTTGATCAACGCAGGAATGAATCAGAAATTGTTGAATCTATTGCGGAATTTGTGTCGAACAAAGTATATTATAAATTGCCACTTAATTATGATCGTTCAGTTGGAGACATTTATAATAACTTAGTTGGAGACATTCAATCAAAAGCAGACAAGATTATATCCCTTTCAAAAATAGGCTCGGATGATACAAGTTTTGTAGGGGTATGTGGAATGGGTGGCCTGGGCAAGACAACTCTTGTTCGAGTTGTTTATGAGAAAGTCTGTAGGATATTTGATGCTAGTTGTTTTCTAAGCAACATAAGGGGAATTCATGAACGCCATGGCTTAGTTTACCTACAAAGGATGCTTCTTGTTGGTCTTGGACTAGTTGGACGAGATATAAATGATTCTTTTAATGGAGCATCGGTAGTCAAACGCCGTTTACGCAATAAAAAGGTCCTGATTGTTCTTGATGATGTAAGTCACGCAACCCAACTAGAAAATTTAGCTGGGAGTGAAGAGTGGTTCGGACTGGGAAGCAAAATAATGATAACTACTAGAGATAAAAGTTTGTTGACAACGTATAAACAGTTTGAAATATATGAAGTTGGAACATTAGATCCAGATGAATCCCTTAAGCTCTTCTGTCAGAGAGCATTTAAAAAGAATGAGCCTGAAGAAGGTTATTTGGATCTATCTAAACAAATGATTGAAAACGCGCATGGAGTTCCCTTGGTACTTGAAATCTTGGGGTCATTTCTTCACGGCAGAACGCAATCTCAGTGGAGAGACGCATTGGAAAAATGCAGGAGAAGTTTGCCCGAGGAGATGATTAGATTACATCAGATTAATTATCATGAATTAGAAAAAGAGTGGAAGATGATATTTTTAGATATTGCATGTTTTTTTAATGGGAGAGCAAAATTTGAAGTGATAAATATATTGGAAACATGCTATTCCCATCCCAAAGATGCAATAGATGTTCTTACTGCAAAATCATTGCTCAGTTCCACTCAATCAAAATCAGATTCAAGACATAGCGGAGAAGAAGGTCAAGATATGCATGATAGGCTGCAAAAGATGAGAAACGATTTTTTCTTGCCAATATTTCTTTATCATAAACTGCTTCGTGAGGCTTCACAAGTATCCCTGCATGTGCATTATTTTCTTCAAGAGATGGTAAGGAACGTTGTTTATCTTGAATCTCCAAATGATGCTGGTAGGCGCAGCAGATTGTGGAATATAAAGGACATTGATCGTGTGTTGAGTGAAAATGAGGTCAGTCTTCGAATATGCATGCCAAAGTTGTTTTATTTACTGCAAGATATCCGTATATGCTTGATATCTTATTATCTTTCATCTTGTTTAGTGCATCTTCATTCATGTTTGTTAGGGAACGGAATACATTCAGAGTATAGTAGTTTTGGATCTAAATCACCAATTTGAAGCAAAATGGCACCCAGAATGCTTCTTAAAGATGCAGAATCTTAGGTTACTCGACTTGAGCGGAGTTAAGCTTGCCCATAATCTCAATCATCTTCCACGTGCATTGAAATTTCTAAGATGGGATCATTATGCTTTGCACTATCCACCATCAATTGATCTACTATATGATCTTGAAAGCCTTCAATTGCATAGCAGCAACATCACTAGACTTTGGAATGGAGCACCGGTACTCTTTTCTTTCATGAAGATACTACACTCTGTAGACATATATCTTATCAGTGGACTTTGAAGATACTAATACTTTCTCCTTGTTCTCGTATAATATATGTTGGTCAGGAATTGAATAAGCTGAGAACCATTGATCTAAGCAATTCTGGTGATCTGAGAGAAACTCCAGATTTCAGTGGAACTCCAAACCTTGAAAAGTTATTTTTCGATCATTGCGAAAACCTTATTCGGGTTCATGAATCTCTTGGACAACTGAAGAAACTAGTTGAGTTGAGTTTAAGATATTGTACAAATCTTGAAACTCTTCCAACTTTCTTGGATATGGATAATCTGGAGGTTTTTATTCTTGGTGAATGTTCAAAGCTTGAGAGGCTACCTGAGTTCGGTAAAAATATGAGAAGGCTATACTTCTTGGATCTGAGGGACACTGGGATCACCGGGATTCCTTTATCCATAATTAATTTAGAAAATCTGAAATATTTAGACTTGGGAGGTTGCAGCAAGCTTCAGTCAATACCGGAGCTTCCTCCAAACTCAATTATTCGTGCAAGGAAGGATCATTTCATGACATCCACTGCATCAGATCTACAGCATCTCATTGAATCGCGTGGCTCTAAGGTTGTCATCTCTATCTCATACTCTGTTTTTCTTCCTCTTCCTTTATATTTTGGTTCGTTTGGATTGGGAGGAAAATATGGGGTAGAGGAAATAAAAAATAAGGGAGAACTAGGAGGAAAAAAAATATTTTCTCTAGGAAGCAAAATTGATGTTTTCTTTTAGTTTTCTCTCCCAATTTTTTTTCCCTATTCAGCGTACTTTTGTCAAGCTTGCGAGCTGACTTTCTAAGTTTACTGCTTTTATCGAGTTAAGCAAGCTAAACATGTACTGGGTAGAACTCTATCTAGAGAATGTGCTAGAAGACCCAATCCAAAGCAAAACAAAAATCAAAAGGTAGAAACTAATATTGATACAATCTTTGAACTTTATAAAAGTTTTCTATATTAAGTATAATAAATTATCAATAGTAATGGGCTTGATTTCAATAATGATTTGATACTTTCTCATGATAATTTTTAAAGAGTTCTCTCTATGGACTCTCCTATTCAAGTTATATTACAAATATTTTAATCTTTAACTTTATAATATAATTGCTTTTTAGTCAAAAAATTCAATGATTTACATTCAAAATATAATTAAATCAAATGGTTGTTATATTTTATATTTTATTTATTTAATCATAAACGTTTAATAATTATTTATTGATAAAGATAAATTAGTAAACTCTTAAGAGTTTACACTTCGAGTTTATGTCGTCTTTATTATGAGCTTGCTTAAACTCTTGATTTTGACAACCTTAATTTTCAAGAGTTACTCTCACTATGTTAGATTGAGAACAAAAAAGAATTCAGTATATAAATAATCATTGTCTCATCAATCTAGTCGTGTAGGATAAACCTCTTGATTCATATTCAATTACTAAGGGTATGTTTAGATTAGCAGTTGCAAAACTAACTTTTATTTTCTCTGACTTTTGCAAACATGAGTTGGAGTATAAAAAAGTCAGTCAGTATAATATGATTTATGTTTGGATTAACATTTTAAAGAAGTCAGTTTGAAAAATTAAAACGTGTTTGGATGGATAATGAAAAAGTAAGTTTATATCTAAAATAACTGAAAATGATATGAGCTTTTATATAAGACTCAATTAACTAATTTTAAAAGATTAAGGATATACATAAGTATTTTAAAGAGATCATATAACATATAATGTAATTAAGTAATTTATTTAGCTTTTTTAATATATTCAAATTATTCTATTGGGGTCTTATATCAAGGAGCAAAGGTAATATATCATAGGTATACAATTTGATAAATTTAGAAAAATAATAACTTAAATTAATTAAATTTTATTTGTTAATTTTTTTCTTCTTAGAAAAAAAAATCAAATATTGGGTCAAGATAGGTCCCACTTAAATGCTCTTATCTTTCTTCTCATCTTTATTATTTCCTCTCTCCACATTGGTAACGGCCAAAGCTAAAAGTTTAGCTTCCCACCGCGTCTAACCTTTTTTTTCAAAAGTTGGTTGAGTTAAAAGCCCACTCAAACAACAATATTCTCCAAACCAACTTCAAACCAGCGTTGCACAGGTTCCAAGGGGCGTTTTCTCGTTTGATGCCAATCCAAACGCACGCTAAAATGTTGCCCTTTTTGTATTAAGAGAGCCCAAAAGCACTATTTGATTGGGGGCTAAATTGATGAGATTTCCTTTGTGAATTTCAATTTATTATATCTCTGAAGTACCTTATTAAGAGAGGAGCGAGATTTTGTAGATTAAAGAAAGAGAACAATATTTAACATGGGAAGATCATATCATCCATTTACTCATTACATAATTTGATATTTCCTTTATTACAGCATCCTAGCGTTGCAGAGGAACCCATTCACCTTATTATTGACTCGAAAGGGAAGGAAGAAATCCCGTCGTGGTTCTTACAACAGGAACATCATCGTAGCAAGGATGACTTAGGTGATGTAGTAACCATAACAGCAGACACACCTGGTGATGACTTGGCAAATTCTGAGGGAATTGCTGTATACATTATCTTTGAATGCATATCTGAGGGAGCAGGAGCATGGAGAGGTTTCGCCATAGATTGGAAGCTCCAATATTACCCCCATAATAATACCAATGATGAGGAAGGTGGTCAACAACAACATCGAACACATGCAGATGCAGGCAGCCAAATTGATTCAACATTCGTCGCTACATATTCTAAAAAAATTGCTGACAACAATCCACAGGCTGAGATTGAGTGTCGAGCTTACAAAGGATTTTTTCCCATTGATAAGGAAAGGTGTCGAAGTGGTGGAAGCGGCCGAGTCGATTTAACACTTCATTTCCCAACAACGAATACTATTGGAAAAGTGACTATTCATTCTAAGGAAACAAGTTTTGTGGACCTGGAAATAGTGGATTGTGGGTGGCGATTGGTATGTAAGAAAGATTTGGATCCAAGTAGCGCAAGAATCAGGTACGTAATTGCCAAGTGCTTCTCATTTAAACTTGGTTTGCTTCTTAACTTGTCTGACTTGTTTTCTTATCTTCACAGACTTATATATTTCCCACTATATTTCTCACTTAAATCTATGGATTTGTTTATAGAGTAAAAAAAAAATGTTGCTTTAATAGTGATATGTGAAACAGTGAAGGTACCAAGTATAATTGTTGTAAATTTGAACATTTATGATGGTTTAATTACAATCAGTGAGACTTGATGACTTGAGCAACTTATTATCAAAATACTATAGTGGCATTTATCAGACATTTAATTCGCTCTGATTTTCTCTGTTAATGATATAAAATAGTTTGAGTGGTTATGGAATTTTGGGTGATTTGCTTAACCTTGCAACAATCAATGGGATAAGTATCACTTTAAATGATGGTGTAATTTTAATGCTGCTAAGCAAGAAAAATGCTCTTCCTTCCAAGCCCTTAATATATTTTTCTTTAATTTTTATCGCATTTGTTATTTGACTAATCATAATTTTAATAATTTATTCTATGCAGGCATGATAAGAAGCCATCTAAATATGATCCTTTAGTTGGAGACATTCAATCAAAGGTAGATGAGATAATCTCCCTTTCAATGATGGAATTGGGTGATACACGTTTCATAAGGATATCGGGCGAGAGTGGCATAGGCAAGACAACTCTTGCTCGACTTGTTTATGATGCAATCCGAAGCAAATTTGATGCTACTTGCTTTCTTGACAATGTAAGGGAGGATTCAGAAAGGTTTGGCATAGTTTCCTTACAAATGAAGCTTCTTTCTGTGCTTGGATTAGGAGAACACGTTATAGATGATATTTCTAAAGGTGCAGAGATAATAAGAAAATTTTTATGCCATAAAAAGGTTCTTATTATTCTCGATGCTGTCAGCCATGAAAGCCAAGTAGAAAATTTAGCCAGAAATAAGGAATGGTTTGGTGCAGGGAGCAAAATAGTAATAATTACTGCTGGAGGGGACATGTTGTCGACATTGTATCGACAGATTGAAGAGTATAAAGTTGAAAGATTAGGTCCTGATGAATCCCTTAAGCTCTTATATCAGGAAGCTTTTAAAAAGGACGAGCCAGAACAAGCTTATTTGGATTTTTCAAAAAAAGTAATTGAATATGCATGTGGACTTCCTCTGGTACTTAAAGTCTTGGGATCATTTCTTTGCGGAAAAGATGCAAATGAATGGAAAAATGCATCAAAAAGTTTGAGTGAAAATGCCTCTAGTCCACTTCGCATAAGTTATGATGGATTAGAAGATGAAGATTGCAGAAGAATATTTTTAGATATTGCATGTTTTTTTAACAGGGAGGCCAAATTCAAGGTGACAAATAAGTTGGAATCATTACGTGGCTTTCATTCAACAAGTGGAATTAAAGTTTTAATTGAAAAATCTATGCTAAATTTCACTCACTCAAATTCGGATTTAAGAAAAAATGCAACAGAAGAACAGGATATGCATAGTATGATTCAAGAGCTGAGAAGGCAGATTTTTCTGCCAACGTATTTTTATGATTGGTTGCTTCAAGAGGCTTCAAAAGAATGCCTGTATATGCATGATTTGCTTCAAGAGATGGGAAGGAACATTGTCTTTGAAGAATATCCAATTAATGCTGGTAGACGCAGCAGATTGTGGTCATTAGAGGATATCGATCTTGTATTGAAAGAAAATAAGGTGAATTTTTTTGCCCGAGTATGCTAAAGTTACTTTACATATTGCATTGTTTGCTTAATATCTTATTATCTTTCATCATGCTTAATCTTCATACATGTGCATTAATTAGGGAACGAAACACGTTCAAAGTATAGTCTTGAAGACACACCGAAGTTTTGAAGCGGATTGGGATCCTAACTGCTTTTCAAAGATGATAAATCTTAGATTGCTGGAGTTGAGTAAGGTGCAGCTTTTGAGAAAGCTCGAGTCTCTTCCAACTGCATTGAGATTTCTGAGATGGGATGATTATGCTGAGGATTGTCTACCATCAATTGAAGAATTACAGAATCTCGAAAGCCTTCAATTATGCAATAGCAGAATCAGAAGTCTATGGGGAGGAAGTCCGGTATATTTTCCTTTCCTTCCATGCAACAATCTTGAATAATATATGCACACACAAATTAAATGTCATCATATACATATCTTGCCATTTCATCACTTCGAAAGTACTGACATTCTCCTTGTCATGTTTTATCTGTCCATCAGGCTTGGAATAAGCTGAGGATTATTGATATGAGTGATTCCAAATGTCTAAGGGAAACCCCAAATTTCAGTAGAATACCATACCTTGAAGAGTTGTTGCTTAATAGATGCAGAAAGCTAGTCCAGGTTCATGAATCTGTTGGACAATTGAAGAATCTCGTTAAGTTGAGTTTGGAAGAGTGTAAAAGACTTAAAAGTCTTCCCACTAGATTGGAAACGGATAATCTACAAGAGTTCATTCTTATGGGATGTTTCAAACTAAAGAAGCTCCCTGAGTTTAGTGAAAATATGGGAAGTCTATACTTTTTTGATGTGAAGGGCACCGATATCACCGAAATTCCTCAGTCCATAGTTCATTTGAAAAGTCTCAAATACTTAGACTTGACATATTGCAGCAGACTGAAGTCAATGCCGGAGCTTCCTCCAAATGTAATTATATCTGCAAGCAATTGTCACTTGTTGGAACCCACATCTGCTCTACGACATCTCTATCCATCTTGTTCGCCGGAGGTTTTTCATCTCTTTATCTAAATTTGTCTCTTCTAATTTTTCTTTATTATTTCCATTTTAAATTATGATTAAAGAACTTAGTCCTCAGTGAAAAATCATCGTTTGATCAATTTTGTATGTGAGATCTCATTATTTGCTGTTAAACCATTCATAAATATATAAATCTCCTCTTTCCTGAGTTTTGATGCAGCTTCCTAATATTCTGCAGGGTCCGATTCACGTTTTCTATGACTTCCCACTGTGGACAAGAATCCCGACATGGTTTGAACGGTGGGAATATTGTTGGGGTAAGGATCCCTCGGGTGAATTTGTGACCATAACAGCAGACATACCTTCCAACGTTGTTGCAGATTCTAATGAAGATCGCTGGGGAATTGCTGTATGCATTGTTTTCCAATTCTTATCTCAAGCATGGCTAGGTTTCTCCGTAGATTGGAAGTTCGAGGACTGCCATCGCAAGAAAACCAAAATACATGGTACTCCGCCTTATTATGTGCATGATTGTCGAGTCTACGTAGGATTTTATCCTTTCGACGCAAAAGACTGTCGACAACATCCAAGGGGAAGAGGCTGCCAACTTGATTTGGCACTCGAGTTTCCAGCAACCAACATCATTAATGGTCTCCATGATTTGAAAATAATGGGATGTGGGTGGCGTCTGGCATGTAAGAAGGATTTTGATGAATGGAGTGAAAGCAGAGCGCCATCACCTCCGAGACTTGGCTTCCTTAATAGGTAACCAATAATGCTTCTTATCACTTTGTTCCATATACTACTCGTTGATTCCCCCCCCCCCCTCCCAAGCTTTTCTATTTAACCCTAGGCAACTATAATACTTCTCCAGAAAATTATTTTTGTCCCAAAAATGGAAATTATATGCTCCCTTCCTTCTTCTTTTTAAGAGAAAAATGTGAGTGGTTTTTAGTTCCTAAATACTCCTTCCGTCCTTAAATATGATACATAATCTTTAACTTCTATTAAGGAATTTTATGATGTCTTAAATACATAAAAAGAGATAAGAATAGTTCAGAATTTTATGATGTCTTAAATACATAAAAATAGATAAGAATAGTTCAGAATTTTATGATGTTTTAAAATTTTTTTTCAAAAAATCCTTATTTAATGATTTTTTTTCTTCAACTCTCAAAAATGACTTTTTTTTTTTTTAAAAAAACCCTTTTTTTGTAAAAATACCCCTATTTAATTGAAAGAAATTTGAAAAAAATAAAAATTATTCAGATATAAACAAACCCCTTGACATTTGTGGTTTTGGCAATTATGTATTGTATTTAAAAACAGAAGGAGTATAAGAAACGTAAGACCATTGTCTAATCACTAATGCATTTATTATATTATTCCCATTATGCCCCAATTAATTATATGAAATAATTTATTTTCATTAATTTGGCCAAAAAGACTTTATGTCATTAATAAGCCAATATGCCAAACATTTATTATAATTACTATTCCACATAGCGGATCGTATTTAGAAGAATCTTGAATTTGTTAGGCTGGGTTAGGGTGCGACTTATTAGTCTATCTGCTGGTCAGATTAGGATTTTTGGGTTGAGACAGTTAGTTTGCTGTTGCTGGTTAGACTCAAGCCAATATTTTAACATGTAATTTTAAAATCTGTACGTATTATTCACAGGCCTAAATGATACTATAGGTCATATCAAATTCTGTGCAATTTCTCTCACCTTAATTTATGGTCATTTATCAAAATTTGGTTATTTAAGACCCACTTGTTATCAACATGAAACTCTGTAGGGTCTATTTGGTAAGAGGGAAATGGAGAGGAGGGGAAGAGAAATTTTATTCAGTTCAATTTAAAAAATTTTCCCCTCCCATCTCCTCCATTTTTCTCATACCAAATAGATAATTAGAAAACAAAATTTAAAACTTTTCTTTAGATTCTTAGGTTTTCTTTCATAAATGGTGAATTTTCTGAAATTTTAAAAATTCATAACTTATTCTATAAGAATCTAATTGAATTAGTTCAAAGTTCTATTTATAACTCTTGAAAAACTCTCTCTCTAGGGAAAATGTTTCTTAAATATGTACAGTATTTTTCAAATTATCTGGGCCAGTTTGGTAGATTTAGAAAATTCATATCTTTTTGTTACATATAAAAAAAATTATATTGTAGAACTTCTTGAAAAGCTCAGGATGTGTACTTTTATCCCAACAAATTTCAGGAGCTATCTCGTTTTCCCTGAAAGAACTCATCCAAATTTGTAGCTCACTCATAAAATATTAAATATCTGCTATATACGTTTACCCATTCTTGCCATGCTCATGGCATGGCCCTTTCTCCCTCCTTATGGAGTTATATACCGTAATATCACTTAGCTCATACATAACCATAAACAAACAATACATACAGCTCACACCAAAAGCAAAACTTATAAACATATAACCATCAAAATAGTCTTCAATTAGAGCTCTCAACTTCACTAGTCGTCCACTAGCTTGCCTTTGCCGTTAGAGATGCCTGCTCTAATGTTTGATTTTGGAGAATCTAAGTAGCAAACCACATCTTAATGCAATACGTTTAAGGTTATACATCGAGCATGTAGAACAAGCCATGGCATAACCAATGAACGAAAAAGGAATTTATATATTCTATTGCCTAGATACAGCAAATATGACGAACAAAAAATGCAATAACCAATGCTCAATTAACATGATAATTAAGGTTAAGCTACTGGCCTCTTGCAAAACCTTCCAACTGTCTCTCTTCTGTTAGCTTGTTCTTGCTTCCTTGTAAGGCTGGGGCACAAATCAAATCCTAGCAAAAATGCACATATGGATAGATTATATTAATATATAAACTTTGTATGCGCTTTCTAATGCATAAATAACTTCACCCTTTACCCAAGTCCTAGCTCTTCAAATTGACCTCTTTAATTTAGCTTCGACCCGTTTACTTTAATTCTTAGCTTAATCATTCTTGTGACTAAAAACTCTTCTCTCATGCTACTCCTATACAATTTCACATGAGGACTTCATTTTTGAACTCAAAATAATAAAATTCCAGCTTCTTTGCCAAGTTTCCTCTTAGGCCGAGACATGAGTACGTGTACACAAAAATTCCATTTTTATGGATAGTGCTTCCAAGCTTAAACTCTTGACATTTTTCTACACAATTTTCCATTCTAAACTTGTTGGAAGAATCAAATTTAATCAAACTTAACTCTAATTCATCCAATTAGTTAGGACCGAGAGAGTTGTACACACTAAAATCATTCTCAATGGTTCCGACGTTGCATTAGGACTTAATCCTACACAAAATCCTCTTCTAAACTCATTGAAATGCTTAAATTCGGCAAAACTTCCTCTTGCTCAATTTGCATTGGCTGAAACGTGGAAGTGGAAATGTATCATGAAATCAAACTCTCTTGTTCCAAACACCATATAGTGTCCTCTACAAGCCGTACACGTGTGATTTTCCAATTCTATATAAATTTAGAAGGTATTTGAATTAGCTTTTTAAATTACGGACTCAAGATAAGTTTAAGTCAGCTTGCATGAACGCACTTTTTTTAATTGCATATAAGGGGTGTCCAAACTCCCCTTTAAATCATTATAATCATCAAAGCAGTGTGCATTCGTTCAGTACCCAAGCCCTTAATATTTTGAACTCCAACATCCAAAAATACTAGCCACAAGCAATGCCATAAAACATCAACATAAGCTTGGCTTTTTGGCTAAATAATGCTCTATAGTTTTTACTTAAATTTGTGGGGCCTTTACATAATTTCAATAGTTATGTTCTCAATAATCTCCTTAAAATTTCACCCAAATCTATGCTTTTTGGCTAAATACCTTTTTTGATACATCTTCATTTTAAATAATTTCTATAAACCTAAAAAAAAGTATCTTAGAAACCTCTTTTCTTTTCTTTTTTTTTTTTGTGGGGAATTTCTTGAATTTTTGGGCATTTTTTCATAAGTATACTTTTAGCCTGATATTTACTCTTATTTGTACTTCTACAACTAAACTTCTCATAATTGCAATTTTGGTTCAGTTATCTGTTCCTCTTACTTTGCCTTATTTTGACTCTAAACGTATTACTTTCTTTTAATTATTAACCCATGCATGTCATAGTCTTTATTTATTCCGTATATGAAATACCGGATGTTACACAAATGCCCATGGTTCGCCCTAATATAGAAATCTTGGTAGAGATGAGATTTACAAAAAGTTTCTTTTAGTTATCATCATCCATATATTGTGTTGGGTATTTATATCCATATATTTTTAATATATCAGTAATCATTTTTGAAAGTAAGTCCTAACATGGACTCTCCTAATCTTAGCTTTCTTTTGTCATTCAGGGACAGGGGAGAAAGTAGCAATATAGCATTACAGAAAGAAATTAAAGGGAAAAGGAAAATATCATGAAATTGAGTAAGTTCTCTTTCTAAGCTTTTAAATTCATTCCTTGATTCATTCGGGGGAAAAAAATTCAACCCTTGACAACTATACTACTCTCCAAGTAATTCACTAATTTTTTGTGATGAATCCATTAAATTAACTTGTTGGTGCAAAACTAAAACTATTTTGTTAGCGTAGCGAAGTCACTAGTTTGTGACTTAAAGGATGTTTACTATTTTCCTTTTCTTTTCATTCTTTTATGTGCAGAACCTTTTTCATTGAAACTTTTTAATTCTAGTTTCTCGATATAATGGAGTTCTACTATTGAATGGACAAAATTTCCATGATATATATTTCAAATTTTAAGTTGCTTAGATATATGAATGAAAATATTGCTCCTAAATATAAGACCCCTTTTGTAGTGTAATTTACACTACAAAAGGGGTCTTATATTTAGCACCGGAGGAGTATTATTTTTGGAATTAATATAATTTTTGGTCTTTGACTTTTAGGCTTATTTTGATTTTGGTCCCTCAAATTTAAAACCCATGGTTTTACTCCATGAAATTTAGTTCTTAGAATGTTAGTCTCTGGAAGTGTAACGATGTTAAAATCTGCTGAATTATTATGAATAGTGTTAAAGTGGTGATATAGACTCACTAGATGACACCTAACTGAATCTTATGTGGATAATATAGAAAAAAAAAAAAAAAAAAAAACAACAGGTCGTTAAAACGTAGTTGTTTAGCCCCTTCTTTTCTAGTTCATTTGAAAAGCTATTCATTATGTTGCATTTTAAGAACTCGTCTCCCTTCTCCCTCTGAACACTTTGTTATCCACATGTGCGGACAACTCCCTTCGGCAAAGTATAGAGTTAGAAATATTATAACTTGATTATATAGACTATTTTTTCCTTCCTTGTGCGGACAACTCTATTTTGGTTAAAGGGAGATAAGTTTTGGCTGATGGTTTTAAATAACTTAAAAGGGTAATGGTATGAGAATAAATTAAAGTTATGAAACAATCATAAAGCAAAGACCTAATTTAATGAATTGTAACTGGGGCAAAGGGTGAGAAAAAGTAAGTGAATTTGTTGTTTTAGTACAATAGATAAGTGTTTGTGTGGGTATATATATTAATCTGCCCTTGCCTATATAATTTATAGGATTTGGTATTTGTTCAAGTTCATTGAGAAAAGAGCCAGAAGGAAGGGGGATAGTATAGAAGAAAGAGCAAAATGTAGTAACTCTTTTCCTTTAATGTGATTGTGCATGTTGCCCCATGCTGGATGTGCCATTATTATGCTGATTGTGTATGGGAACATGTAAATTGCCTTTGCATGATATTATTTGTCATGACAATATGAACTGGTTTCTGTTTATCCTAGAATGTGTTCGTGATGGTGCTCAATTGGCTATTTAAGTGTATGATGTATTGGCATCATGGATTATATTTGGTTGCATGGTGTTGTTTTCTTTGGCCTATGTAGTATGTTGTTTGTGATATTGTACAATTACATGAAGGAATTTGTTAGTATTGGGATTCTTTAAAATCTCTTCCCTTCTTTCGTGTCATATAGCAAGAGCACGTACTTCTAAGGGCAAGGGAGTAGTGATTGGCGGAGCTTAAAAGTGAAGGGAGTTGAAGAATCTATTATGTATTTTGTTTAAATATGCTTACCATATTTTGCTATTCTAGATTGAGGATATAAATGTGTATATATATGTATATGTATTTAGGTATGTAAATATTTTTCAATAAGGAGGTGATTAAGGGGAGATAAACTATAGGTAATTGTTGTTGACAGAAATAAGCTCTATGCTGATATATAATTATGACTATGATCTGGATCGTATGTATGAGTATATATATACTCTTTTTAGGGGCCAGTGATTAGGGTGTTGAATGTTAAACCCTACTGGTTATAATTGACTTAATATAGGTTCTAGATGGCTGCATGGAAAAGGAATGGGTTCAGGTGATTGAATGCGAACCTGGGTCTTAAATTAATTGTACTAGTTTTGAAAAAAAAAAGTTAAATCAAGTATTTGAACTACTAAACAGGTTGCTTTGGAAGTAATTTTTTTTTTGAAAAAGTTAGAAATTATTCAAAAAATCTTATTCAATAAATAAGATCGAACCCTGTGTGTCGGAAAATTTTTTTTTTCTTTACAAAAAATTGTTTTTCCGAGGATAAAACTTGGTTTTTAGGGGTTCAGACTTAAATAAAATAATCCTCCTAGTGTATAGAGGTAAGTTGTTACACATTAGCACTTGGATCTTTTTTACGATTTATCCGTCATCTAGATCATATGTTTTGGTTGCATCTAATATCCTATAATCTTATTTTTAGTGATCCAGCATTTTACAAATTAGGGTATTGTATGTAACTGAAAAAATAATATCGAGGTATTGGATGCACAAAAAAATAATATTAGGATGGTAGATATACTATAAAAAGATCAAGGTATTGAATACACATGAGAAATGAGATCAGAATGTTGGATATACTTTTATCCTAAAACAAATGAGACACAATAGTCTAAGACTTACAAGGCCATATACATGCTTATGTATAAGCCCATAGCGTATAACTGAAAAATCTAAATATTTAAGTATTTTGCATGTTCTTTTTACACTTCCCTCAAATTTGGGGGCATACAAGTCATTGATCCCTTGCTTGCCCAGAAATCTAACATAATATTTTATTCCTAAAGCCTTTTTAAATATGTCTTCTTGTTCTTCTTTGTTTCTCACATGATGTAAGCTTATTACTCCCTGCTGTAACTTCTCTCTGACAAAGTAGTAGTCTATCTCAATGTGCATTGTCTTCGTTTGTCGTTTAGCTTAATCTGCAAGAGCATGTGTTGCAAGTAGTAAATAGATATTGTTCCTTTAAGATCCGTTTAGTAGGAGGGAAAATGAGAGGAAGGGAGTGAGGGAAAAATTTTAATAAGCTCGATTTAAAAAATTAAAAAAATGGGATTAAAAACTTTTAATTAATTTTTATTGCTATTTTATATTACTTCTTCTCTTTATTGAAACTTCTAAACTTCACTTCTCTGATTTTTCAAATAGAACTCGTTAAAATTTTCCGTTCCCTCCCCTTCTTTCCATTTCTCTCATATCAAACAGTACCTTAAAAACTAAGGTTAGGCAAGTTAAAAATCATAATTGTGTTCATGATTAGGTTAAGTGAAAACATTTGAAAAGTGCAATGTTTAAAGGAAAAATTGATTAAAAATTAAACAAATTCAATTTAAATGAAAACTAGATTATAAACTTGACTTCAAGATGGAAATTAAAGAACCTAGGGTTACTTCTCCTCATATATTAAGAATCAATACAAAATATAAGTAGGCACTCCTGCTTCTTTTGCCTTCCTTCTTCTTTAATGACAAAGCTCTTGCCCTTAGAGCTATCGGCTTTAACTGTACAACATGGTAGAAAAGGATTGAGATTCCAATAAATTCCCATAATGGCAAATTTCATCATATAGTCATGCAAGATCACAACTAAGCATGCAAAACAAGCCATAGAGAAACAACACCTTGCAAGCTATGCAACAAAACATCTATGCATGAAACTAGATAACCAATTTGAGATAACTAATACACAGGTAATGGCAGAGGCTGCCCAATGTTTGCCAGCTACTCATGGCCATGGCTAAAATAATCCATGCAAGTAAAATATTAATGTCGTCATGCTTAATTATAGCATTATGATATAAACAGACATGTAACAATCAATACACAATCATAAGATAGGAAAGAACTACTACCTGGTACGTTTTCTTCCAAACAAACCTTAATGTCCTCTTTTTCGGTGTTTCTTTGACACGCTTGGACAAATATCAAAACCTATCATTTTTAGTTATTTAAGGGTAGGGTAATACTTATTCCATTTATAACTTATAATTTAAATAACTTCTCTTAAATCCCAACTTATTCAAATTCTACCCCCTTATGAAAGTGATTTGTTATTATGGACAAAAAAATATATTTGTATATTATGTTTAGGGACATTTGAAATGCCTTCCCCTTCTCAATCTTCACTATCTTGTACATTTGTGTGTGTATATACACACATATTTTCATGGTATAACCACCTTTCTCACAATCCCAATCTTTAGTAACTTGGGTCTTTTGCTTTGTTCTTACTTCACTACTTTAACTTATTCTCATACCATTACCCTTCTAAGTTTATTAAAATCACTAGCCAAGGCAGAACTTATCAAACTCTGAGTCCCATAAACAATGTTTAGACCTTCATTTTAAAGTCCAAGCTTGAAGCATTATATAGTTACTATGGCACCTACTATTCAATTTTCTAACACTTAGGCCTCTATATTAATGTTTCAATCTTGTTCTTATATTCTGGAAATTTTTTTCCAGATATCAAGTGTACTCCTAAATTTAATCTTTAATAGTTCTCTAGCTTGAAAACATCATATGTCCTCTTCTTTTAACTTTTACCCGCTCGGTCTGCACAAAATGACTCCCTTGAAGATTGTAGCTCTCATGCCTAATCTTATTCCATCATTTAACAACTTGAACCATAGCCTAAACGACTAACAATTAATTAATCAAAGAGAGCATCAATAACTTCAACCAACTTAATTCTCTTTTCTGAAATCCTCACTGCTCTGAAATTTTCCAGCATCAATATCAATATTTAATCATCATTCTATTGCTTCTAAACATGATTTATGCATCCTTAATACATAATTTAATCATTCTGAGTTCTTTTCTAGCATTCACAAACATCAAACAATAGATTTCTAGCACACTTTCAACTTTGACAATCTAATTCCAGCATTGCACAATGACAATCTAATTCCAGCATTGCACAATGTCAGCCACAACTTAAACTTTATTATTCTCAAACATACCACATGGCACTGTAGAAGCTGTACATGTTTCATTCCCAATTTGTAATAACTTGAACTCATAAAGTTTATCAAAATAATCAACTTTTATATAGCCTCTAACTTCCAGTTCTTCAAGTTTATTAAGCATTCCACGGTT